GTTTTTTTTTTTTATCTGTAGAGCTTGAAATCTTATCGTTCTAATACTTTCAATATGGCTTTCCCAACAAATTTGTGGCTTAAGGGTAAGACCATTTAGATTCTCTTCGAAAATTTTCCATCGTTTAGTAGATGACGAAAATAAAGTGTATATACGTTAAACCACCCCAAAGAAAGATGCAACTTTTGAACAAGAAGTTGTCATATCACAAAGTGCAAGATTAAGACTAGGACACCCACAAGTACTGTAGAATGTTCTAGGATTTAATTGTAATAGTCTATTTTGAACTCCTTTATGTTTTCGTTTCATGTTAGCACCATTATCATAACTTTGACCCCTTATATCATCAACTAGTCAGATGCACGTGCGATGCACGTGCTAGTGGAGTAGTTGGGTACTCAATAGTGCGATGTTTAGCAGAAAAAAAAAAAAAAAAGTCCGGATGGCTTTGAGAAAATTATTTGATCTAAGATTTCAGCTACTTATAGCAAACTTTGCAAGTGTTTTGTAATTATACTGAAACAAAATTAAACATACATTAGCGATTACACGAATGTTCAATTAATCGAATTCTGAAGCTTCATAGAAATTGCACAGATATTAAAACAGATAATGATGAGTTAGTTAATTTCATCAGGCAAAAACAGAAAACCACATCATGTATTACTTACATCTGACATCTCCATGCTGGAAAATTATGGCAGACAATTAAAAATATAAAACCAATATAATGCTTACTTTGGACCAGTGCATGCCATTGTTGTCCCTAAGCCTTCATTAGGTTTTAACACCACAAGTTTGTCCAACAGCTTTTTAGTCACTCTAGGATATGCATTAACCAAGATTGTTAATTTATTCACAAGTCTTTGACGAAAAATGATTTGCACTCAGGTTTATATATTTTTGATAATTTAACTTCAAAATGGAAGGGAGGTAAGCACAACTAATATATGAAGATCACCCTCAGGTACAGGTGCTAAGGTATCGTAAGGCACGACCACCACATCAGTCGGTGTCTGGATCTCACTGCATTCAACATGTTGAGCTTCACCACTTTGATTTTCCACAAAAAAAAAATGTCGTGGAACACGTCACAATCCAACTTCAACCAATCGGATAACGAAAGTGAACAACAACGGTAAACTTTTTAAACAAGTAAAATTATCCAAAATTCAGAAACAATAACACCAGATTCTTGATGAGCAGTTGAGCACAGTCCACTTATATCCATCTTCATCATTTCCATGACACAAAGAAAACATAAATGTAGTACAAATCGGACATTTGGATCATGAGATAGGAGTACGGATCCAACATTTTGGAAAGATATTATTAGCTTCATAAAAAAAAAAATCCTCCGTACAGCGCGGACACAAACATCAGATGGACCCTTTTTTACATCCACCAGTGTATGGGCCACACATTCAATCTACTGTTGAATGCCATCGATAATGTGAGGTACAACCTAAATGAGAGGAGAAGCATGAAATTATGCACCATTGTAGACAATACAACATAAAAACAAACATAAAAATTAGTGCCAAACCTGAACAATATTTCCTAGATAATCTTCCTTACTCTCCTTATCAAATTTGAAAAACATCCATTAACAGTCACAGATTAAGAGAAATCTTGTTGATGAGATCTTGTTGTTGACCAAAAGTGAACACTAATTTCACAAACTACCAACGGAAAAGTTCAGTTGTACTCCCTTGTGCACTTATATGCTGCCCTGTTCTTAGAGTTACTTCTGTTTCAGGCATTTTACTTTTATATCTAACTTTAACTTTAATCTAGCCCTCTCTTTTATCGTCTTCTTAGGTCTCTTGGTTCCACTTGGTCAAATTATTCAAGACCATGCTACTCTTTCTTTCTTCAGTTTCTCCCCCAAGTCAACAAATTTCCTAATTGAGTCCAACTTATCTTCCGCCAGTTAATGATTCTTTCTGCATTAAGTGGTAACTGAGCACACAAATATTTTAAATCACAAGAAAGTATGCTTAGTATTTATACGTTTTCTTCATCTACATGATTATTATTGACTAAAAATTAACCATACACCTGAACCAAACAAATCCACTGCAGATTAGCAATAAGAGGAAACAAAATAGCATTTGTACTTGCAAACGACTGTGGACATCCAGCATGAAGTCATGAAGGTGGATCCTCTTTTTCCTCCAGTTGCAAGGCCTGGGAAGACATAAAAGAATATTGATTGCAAAACATAGTGCTTATATAATCTATTGAATTAGGATCAATGCACACAGCTAGGATAAAGTTTAACTACATAGCAAGATTGGATAAATCTGAATCTGATGCTTACAATTGATCAAAAAACAGGTCCATCAACATAGTCTTGCCTGCGCCAAGTCCTCCATAAAGATAAAGTCCTTTCACCGGTGCATATGAAGAATAGACTAAATAGAAATAAAAAAAAATCGAAAACTCAATGAGATCAAAATCTTGTAAATGTTTGATAAATAAATTAGTTTGAGATGCTATTTTTTGTTAAAGCCAAACATTTGCTCAGGTGTTATGTCATCACATCTTCCACAAAAATCACATATTACTATTATACCTGGTGACAAGGGTTACCTGCATCAAAAGGAAAAACGAATCTATTAAGTAAACAAAACAAAGAATTAAAAAATAAATAAAATTTGTGAACAACCTTTCCCAACCAAACACTTCAGATCCAATTAATAAATGAATATATATCATTTAAATTCATAATTACCTAACATAGCATAAGTTGAGGGCAGTATAGTTCTTTCATCTTTCATAAGTTGAGGGCAGTATAGTTGACTATTCTTCAAGATTCGTCAATCAGAATGCTTTGATCTTAAAATTTTGATATAATCCATTTGTTTCAAATGAAAACTCTTCATATTATTCACAAAAAGAAATAGAAAAACAGAAATCAAATTAAATCTAACTACTTAATCACAGGAAAAAAATGGGAATGGCATGTGCCGTGTCCTATATTAGAAATTATAAAAATATTAAAATAGAGATATAATATATGAACTTAAAATTTTAAAGAATTTAAATGGGCGTGTCCCCAACGTGTATGTGTCTGTGCAACTTAGGGGGTTGGGGAAATGTGGGAAAGGTTGGAGTGACTGGACTGGTTGGGAGAGCAGAGGGAGGGAGATTGCGCAGGGTGGATGGGGCAGCAGTTGGGGTAGGAATGGGAAACCATCTATAATCAATGTAATTTTGTTTGCTTATGATTTATGAGCGTACTCTGCATAAAACCAGACTTGTCTATCTTTTGTCTATTTTGACCTAGGTTCAACATATTGTGAAGTACAACCAGGATGGTTCTCCTGTTCAAAGACTGAGGATGAAGGCCATAAAAGTTCATTCAAAGAATATAGCATCAAGGAGCTTTTGGAATGACTACTTGTGTCTTTGTAGGGAGCTTGGACAATTTGAAGAAGATGTTAACAAGATTAAACTTGACTATGTCAAGTCTTTCCTTCATGGAAGCAAGTTGATGCCATCAATAATTAATTACAATTTAATAACATCCAAAGGGTTATCATCAAATAGGTAATCCAAAAATGAAGAAATAAACCACAATACACTTTTCAACAGAAAACACAGGGACTCCAAAGCATAAACAAGAAATGGCTAATAAGAACTCATAATTTCTCAACGTGAACGCTGAAAATACAAAAATAACCATAATATCTGATCAATTTCTGATGGGTTTTTGCGAAGAATTTTTAGGCATGCCACTGTAGCATTAAGATTTTAGACATCAACATGTGAGCTATTCTTGAAGGGAAACAAAAAGAAAGAATAATAAAGAAATAAGAACTACCTTGTGGCTGCATAAAGTGGCTTACAGTTTCTTCATGTAATTTTCCTTGATGTTTTCGAATATACTCTGAAAGGTCAACCCTTTTGCAGTACTCCAAAATGATGTGCAGATTTTCAGATTCCTACAACCACGCATAACAGAAATTGAAATAAAACAAAGGGAAGGGATTATGACAATAGTTCCTTGAGAACTTCGAGAATCTCATGATGCAACAATTTAATCAAGTACTTGCATAGAAACATTCATCATAATATATTACTTCACTCCTGTTGGATTATCGAACAAAACAACTTCATTAATATACACTAAATATGCCAAAAAGTATATAGCTATCTTAGGTGTTTAAGAAAGACATGGATCCTAAAAGAAATGTGATTGGTTGAAAGAAGTAGCTCAAAAATGCTATATTAAAATAACTTGTGTGCTTTAGTTTTTTTTTTTTTCTTTTCTTTTCAAATAAGTAGAGTTCATTGAAGGTCCTCCGGGGAAGAATTCATTTTAATATACGAAATTACATCAAAAATCAGAAAGTGTGTACCCGCTTACTAAAAGCTTCAAAACTACATAACCTAAATAATAAAGACCACAGTTTAATTGAAAATAACAAACAACAATTGTTGGTCATCTAATAAAATCAAACTTACCAAGACTCTCTGCGGCAATTGGCTCTAGATCAAATCTTTCAAATAAATCATCTACGGGTGCTCCCAGTTCTTCTTTAATTGTTGCCAGAGCAGTTTTTGATGTAGAAGGTTGATAAAAGGGTAACTCACATCTCCTTCATAAACCTCATTGTTTTCCTTTAAATGGATACGAATAGCTTGTCAAAAATTTTCCATTAGAACCTCCGTCCTCTTTACTTCTAATGAATACACTTATGATCTAACCATTGGGTAGAATGGAACTTTCATAAAATAAAAATTGAAAAAAAATCGAAAAATCAATAATCAAGTCATAGTTAATATTTTCAATATCAAACAATATTTATCCACATTGCAAAACCGAGGTAGAATGAACAAAGACAATTATGACAAGAAATAAGAAATAGCATATCCAATATATGCATTGATTGGTTTTCCCACAAGCATAATGAAATTGCATTTGTCAGATTACAAAGATGTTAGATGCGTGTCCTCAGTAATCTGAAATTTGACAATCATATATAAGCTATTAAAACAGTAAATAAGCCTAGAAGTAACTCCATTTTTCCAGCAATATTAACGATTTCGATGCACAATTAAAACATATACATTATATATAGACAGATAAATATAAACCAATCCACCTCAACAAAGGATCATTTTCACTTATCACCATTATAGCAAAGGAAGAGTTGTAAATAGTATCACCTAGTTAGAAACTGACATCAAGGCAATATAACAAAAATGAAAGATGTTCATACATGCCATAAAATTAACATCAAAGATCAGTGATACGTGCTTTATGGGCATACCTCAGCAGAGGGCTCGTTAGAGGGTCGTAATGCTGCTTCGGCTAAATTCAAAAGATCCATCTGAAAGCATGATAGCGCAACAAGTAGCGGCTTTGAGCCATATGTGTTCCTTCAAACAATTAAAGACAGATTAATGAAAAAAAAGGTGAATGTCACCAAAAAATCTAATTGCTAGAATTCATGATGCCAAGAGAAATTGCAGTATAATTAATTAGAATCAAATACGAATAGCAAAAATGTATCCACACAAAACCCAATAGCTACAGTTCATAAAAAGAAAGAGAAAATTGCAGATAAATTATTCAAGATAATCGGAATCAAATTCAAAAAAAAAGCATCCACACCAAACCCAATTGCCAGAATTCATAGGAGGAAATATAAAATTTGAAATAAAATACTCAACTTAATCAGAATCAACTACTGATCGCGAAGATGTATTGTCGAGTGAAATGGGCAACTTAGACTCGCCTGTACTACGGAAAAAAATGGCATAATTTTTAGGATAGTCAAAACAGTAAAATCCAACAGCCATAGTAGCAAATTAACATTTACTTACCAAAAAAATCTTTTTTCAATCGTTCTCTCGATTGTTCTCTTTCTGGATGACGAAAACTTCAAACCTCTACAAAAGAAAATAAAAAACAAAAGATTAAATTTTTTGGGATGGAGCTTCTAGCTAAATAAATATAAATATATACAAAGAAATCATCAGAGAAAATAGAGAAGTGATTGTGTGAGGGAAGTGAAGTGAAGCAAAGAAGAACGGTTCACGTAAGGAAACCAACAACACCTCCAAAACAGAGACGGGCACTACATCCCCAGCCATACCACGTCCGCCCTGCTCACCAACCCAAGCACAAGCCCCACAGCCATCCCAAGCGACCGAAACACCACCAAGCACACCACCACAGCCACCCAAATACCAACAGCTCACCACCTCAACCACAAACCACAAAATAAAAACAAAAGAGAGGAAAGAGGAAAGAAAGGAAGGAAGGGGGAAGAAAAGGAAGGGGGGAGCCGAAGCTCCCACCCCCCTGCGAGCACGCTAGGGTTTGGGCAAGGAGCGAGAGAGAGAGAGAGGTTTCTTCACAAACCAAAATGGACGATGAAGATGGGAAATGAAATGATAGAGTAAAGTAAAGGTGAGTTCTGAAAAGTTGAACATTCACATGCAAACATTAAATACAAACAGTAATAAACAGTGTCAGAAGAGGTGACTGTAGGAAAGGAGGGCTTGGCTAACGCGGCTACGGCTCAAAAATGGCTGGCTCACTTGGCCAAATGGCTTATGAACAGTAGGATCAAAACTCTCTCTTTTACTAGTGTATGATGTATTTTGGAACAGTAGATTGATGGAAAATGTGTGGTTGAAAAAGAAGGAAAAGTTATTGATATGATAGAAAATATTATTTTATTGAAAAATGTGTGGTTGAAAATGAGTAGAAGAATGAGAATGAAAAAAATAATGTGTACCAAATAAAGCATAAATATATCATTAGCACACATGCAAGAAAATCCTAATTTAGTAATTAAAAAAAAGATGGAAAGGTGTTTAGATTTCAAATAATGGTGAATCAAGTGACGGAGGTCCGACCTAATTGTCAAAAAAAGTTA